GGATGCGCACTGCTGAGGAGTCCCATACCAAGGCGAAACGGCCGTCCAGTGCTTCCAGGTTTTCCATAGTGGTCTAGATTCAATTGACTCATGATTTCAACTAGTGAAATTTCTAAAAAATCTCCATAAAACCCATTCTGATAATATATATATATATATATTATTGTCTTTATTAAATCTTCTCCTTTGAAAACGATGTGTTTATTTGAAATATTATAGTTGACTTTCGTTATAATAGTATAATAGTATTCAAACAGCTATACAATCATTCATTGATCTATTCTGTACATAAACGACTAAATGGCATTGAAAATAAACTCATTGTAAAGAAATAATTCACTAACTCTACATGCCAATATTATGTTAACTGATAAGTATTCCATCAGTGGGTTATTTGTTTTAAAGCAATTAAATAACTAACAACAATAAATGTTCTTCGAAACTTTTTTTTAAAGTCTAGTTCAATTAATTTATATTATTAACTGTATAATTGATACAAATATTCGTCAATATTAAAATGAATAATATGACAATAATTAGGCGCCAAGTATAAAGTAGTTATTATATATGAAAATTATATTTCGAATAATCTTAGCAATTGAAATTTAAAATAATTTCAACGTTTCGTCCAACTAACTTCTTTGAACTTCTTCAGGGTTTATATAAACATATATATTTTTATCAGAAGGGGTTTGTGGAGATTTTTAGAAATTTTCACAGATTGAAATCATGAGTCAGTTGAAGCTAGGCCACCATTGAAAACCTGGAAGCAGTGGACGGCCGTTTCGTCCTAGTATGGGACTCCTCAGCAGTGCGCATCCACGATCCCGCACCACGCGGGGCTCGAACCGAGGACCTACTGGCTTCGCGCGCGAGCACTTAAGCATTAGACCACTGAGCCGGTATCCAACGGTGTTAATGTCTAGCTTCAACCAATCCACGAAGTTGCGCCACCATATACCATTGTCTTCAGTGAGATGATATCTCACAACAGACCTGGTTGTACTCCACTGGTAACGGCTTCCCACTAACTTTGATTTTAATTATTACCGTGAAGATGTTCAGACATGAAACATTGAAATTATTTCAAATATAATTTTCACATATACTGAATGTATAATTTTTTTGAGATGGGGGTGGGTAGTGATTACACATGAGTATTTATAATAATTATATATGTGAAATGGAATTAAATTTTTTCCAGAGAATTCTATACTACTAATAAATGTTTATTATTTTGATTTACTTAATTTACAAACAATAATGAAAATAACGAAAATTTTGTTGATAAAATTTAGATAAATTTAACAAAAATAATAAAGTAGTTTATTAATTAAAAAGACAATAATAAAAATGGCGTCGTTTGGTATTATTATTATTATTAGTAGTAGTAGTAGTAGTATGGTAAATTAATAAATTAGACAGTGAAATCAATTGAAGTTAATGATTGATTCTCTACATTGTTTTTGTTAAAGATGATATCATTATTTATATTAGTTGATTATTAGTCTGAGAGTAGACTGAAATCATTTTATTAATGATTGAATGAATTCAGGAAACAATTCCATTTATATATAAAACAAAACAAAACAAATTTTTAAGAGGAATGGTTTTATTAATGTATTTCATTGTTTAATGAATTTAAGTTTGTTTTTGTTTTTTTGTTTTTTTACTTATTGTGGTCTTTGATGACGTAAACACTACTGATTTCTGTCTGGTGTTTCAAATGATGCCAATTAATTATTTACTTAGTACAAAGAAAAATTCAATAATTTAATATTAAAAGCATCTCTGAATATTTGAAATTATTTTAACATGAGATGGTAAAGTCATTTGGTATTGTTTACTTGAATCTTTTCATTGTTATTTAGAACTGCAATTGATCAGTTTCTTATTGGCATATGTGCATCATATGCGTATTGCCTCGATATTGCCTTAATTTACAAGCATTATAAACAAAGATGGATGGTGGCTAGTAGTATGCACATATGCCAATAAGAGACTGATCAATTGCAGACCTAAACATCAATCAAAAGATTCTAGCTAACACTATCAAGTGAACTTAAACTTCACCCGACTGCACAAGTAGGTGGCTATCAGGAATCAGTAGCTTAGTGGATAATACAAAGGCATTTGAAGCGAACGGTACTGGGTTCGAGTCCCAGGGTGAACATTAACTCTGAGATGCAGGTACATTCAGTTGACGAGTCCTAAATAGGTTGAATCGTGTGTCATGAATTCCACTGCTATTCATATTTGCGTATCAGATGATAAGTTTTGCTGTGTCAAATTAATTAATTATCTTTGTATTATTATTATTATTACTATTGGTTAAACACCATTATTAATATTCCCAACACATGATTCCTTTACTTTACATTCATGCTATTTTATTATGTCTAGCTCATAATTTCTTACACAATACAAACTTCTACTAAACATTTGATCGAATTGTAATTGCCCTATTAACAATGAACTTTGCTCTAAACCTGGCCATTTTTCAGATTATTAATTTGGATATATAATTGTAGAATCTGAAGAGAATTTTTTCAAAAGAATATTCTTCGTCCAAATATTAATTTTTTAATTGGTTATGAACTGAACTAACCAGCTCAAAATCTAGTTGTGTTTGTATAGGTTTAAGTGATTTCATTTTAATTTGTAGAAAAGATTGTAATTACTATTTACAGAAAACAAACATATGAATCAAAAAGATCTAACCTTTGAAAGTCATTTGATATTTTCTAGTTTTCCAACTTGTTCATAAATCTAGAGCAATATCCATCCACTAAACTGTTAAAAAACTGTACCTGAGCTAAGTGTTTACAAACTTCAAATCTTTACTATCAGTTACATTTTCCAAGCATCTAGATGTTTAGATTCTCGTATTAAGTAAAATCCAGGTAGACAATACATATTAAACATTTGAGTAAATCCAATATAAGTCATGAAACTAATTATGACCAAAAAACCTAGGTCAATCAATAAATCACACAACCTAATCTCTTATAAATAACTATTATGAATTGGAATACACATGCTTAAATCTTAATAAAGTAAACAATACCCTCCATTATTGCTTTAATACGTAATGTTAATTTAGATGAAAGCCCAAACACAAGTGAATTCACATCAAACTTATATCTGTATGTAAAGTATATGAAGGGATATCTTTCCATTTATACAACTATTATTTATTCATTCTTTTTATACTAATATTTCCGTTTATATATTTATTGTTAGTAACATTATCATTATGATTAATATTAATGTCAAATTAACAAACCGACAATAAAGCCAAATACAAAATATTTCAAAGAAACAAAATTCATAAAATCTATTTATACTACTTATATTGATATTCATTTATTTTTATAAAAAAAAAGATTGAATTATGTTTTGCCTTACTAAACAACTAGGAAAATGCGAAAAAAAAACACTTATCATTACAATTAGTTTTTTTTTCTATTTATTTACAACAACAAAAATCTATCACAGTTATATACAAATATATACGTCAGTAATGTTTAAACCGATACTGGTTAGTATATAGTAATTTATTAAGTCATAAGTGTTTATCAATGTCATATATATATATATATATATATACTTTCAATGAATATGGATACAAACAATCAAAATAGTAGGGAAATGTCACAATGAACATCAGTATAACTCATTCATGTCATCAAGGAATTGATTTTATTTTAGATTAACTATATGAGTAACATAGTCCGTTTAGTATCATTATTATCGTTATATACATTTATATTAATATTATGTCAATGAAAAGATGATTAGTAAAGTATTTTGATTCTATTTGATTGTATTAAATAATTTAATGTTTTATTTATTGAATAGAAAACTAATTAATTTAATGATTCAATAGAGCAATGAATAAAGAAAGGAACATTTTTATTGATATAAATTTCTATGATAATGAGTTGTGTTTTTTTTGACAATTTTTATAATATGGTTTTATGATTGTCAAATATAATAGTTGGATGTAATTGTATTCTATTGTAATTTAGTAATTACTTAATGTTTACATTGAAATGGATTTAGAAAGATAATAACTATGGTTTCATTCAATGTCATGACATATTCATATAAATAATGCATCTTTGAAAAATCAAACATACATAGAAGTTAAACTTTAGTATTTTTCAATTATTTACATCATAGATAACTCATTATTAAATAGAGTTAACTAAGGTAGATTGTACTTGGTATAATTTGTTTGGTTGTTGGTCTTTTTTTTTCTCATTAAATTGAATAGTTCAATTTATTTATTTGTATCATATGGATCAAGAATAAATGAACTACAAAATAATTTACAAATGTTATATGTGTTAATTTTAATGGTTGCATTCATGAGTCAATTAAAGATAGAGCATCATGGAAAACGTGTTAACACTGGATGGCTGTTTCGTTCTAGTATGGGACTCCTCAGCAGTATGTATCCACGATTTCGCCTATAGGATTCGAACCCCAGAACCTATTGGTCTCGCACGCGAACACTTAATTTCTACATCATTGAGTCGATATTCAACAGTATTAATGTCTAACTTCAATCAATCCATGTCTTAATCATCGTAATAAGTAGATTGTATTTTTCTAAAAATGATCATGTGTAATTTGAAATTATACATTATTAATTCTGAAGTAATATGTGTTTAAATAAAGGTATACACACAAGCCAACAGAAATTTATTACATAACATCATAACCGAAATTGAGACTTAATATCAAAATATATAAATTAAGTTATCTCTAATCCCATTTCCCAGGAAATGTTTTTTTCATGTATAAGGCAATGTATGATCAAGATAAAGTAAATGACTTAAACATAACATCATATTTTAATTAAATTAACCCTGTGTTAATTAGAAAAAACTGAGTTTATTTTATGGTAATATATGTACTACACTTCATGAAAACCAATCTTATGAATAGGTATACAATGTATATACATACATAAATATATATTAAGAACTAACCCGGTCTGGCACCATTTGCGCGCATAAAATCCAATCCGATCGCATCCAATCCTGTACGTTTTGATTTGATTGCATGAGCAGCTGGTATATTGGCAGGGATTACTGTGGGCACAGCAGGAATCCCTCCATAACTAATTCCCTTAGATGTACCACTGTTCACTTCTTTGGGATCGTTTTTCTGTAACTGTGCTGTGTACTGATTTGCTTTTTCCTCATGATATGATTGATGATGTTGTTGTACGTTATCAGTATGTTGTTGTATTATATTAGGTGTATAATATCTATATATGCTAGGATTATTCTTCTTTTCCAATAAATCATTATATGGAAGATCTCTATTAAGCAGTATTGTTGAATTACACTTACCTATTTCACCTACATTACTATCGCTAGGTGACAAAATATCTGGCATATTTAAATCCATGAGACTGCTATATATAGTAGAATTACGGTCGGTTAACTCGCTAAGAAAATAATCATCCTTTTTATTGGCATTGCCATTGGGTCATATAAAGATGCTTTACGATTAATCTTATGAATATCATCTGTTGTCTGTGTAGTTTCAAAAGGATAATAACACTGATTATTATTCTTAATCATGTCATATTCATCACCAACGTATGATTTTTGTGATAAATATATTAACAATTTTATATAAGCCATATCCATTTTCTCACCAGTCACATTAGAGCGGGATCAGAATATCGTCTTGATCTATAACCGAAGAACGACAATTGTTCATTTAACCAGTTAAGTCTAGATGATGGTGAATTTATCAGTTTAGATTGATGATCATGAGGATGAAGATGATGATTAGGATGATAATCATCATGATGACATTTATAAGGACAACAACGATACTGACAACAACATAAACCTAAATTCATTTGTTGTTGATTTCTTTCTACAGATCTTGAATTTCTAGAAATATCCACTTTATGAATTGTTTCATTCGTAGTATTATATGGATTATTAATAAATGTGCCCGCTCTAGCAGCAGCTAATGCAGCGCTTGCTACACCTAGTAAACCCTTAGCAGCTGATGGTCTACTAGCAGCTAACATTGATAAAAAACTTGTATCAGAATTACTATAAAATGATGAACTCATTTTACGTGATGAACGATTACGTAAATTCATTGGTTGAGATATTTGATGTTTTAAACAATTCTTTTTTGTTGGTGATATTGATGCTGATTTAACTATTGTTTTATATTCTATACCAGAGTTCGATGTTTCAGTGTCTTTAGGTTTTCTTTTATTATTGTTCTCTTTAATTTTATTATCAAAAGAATCAAGGAATAAATGATGATCCAATGGAGATGTTGTTGATGATTGTGATGTATATGTCGATGATGAACACGTATTACTAGATTTAACTTTATTTCCATCTAATTTTGTAGATTCGATTTTATTTACAGGAGATAAAACTTGTTGTTGATTCTCTTCTTCAAATGAATTGATTTTATTAATGAGATAATTTGTATCCATACTTGGATTACGTGTACAAGCTATACTACTTTATTACTACTACTACTATTTGTTGTATTAGTTGTAATAATTTTTACAGAATTAATAATATCAAATGCATCCGATTCAGATATATTTGCTTTTCTACGAATCAGTGATGGTCGATTAGGTTTCAATAAACTCAAATCTGAATGTTTAGATATTATCTTAGAAGTTGATTGATTGAACTGATGTGATGAAGTTAAATTTGTCAGCGGACTAGATGTAACAACATTATCATTAACAGTACTATTGACAGTAGAAACAGTAGTGTAAATATTAGTCTGAGTAGGTAACAAACAAAATGTTGATAATTCATTTTTATTTGAATCTGTTATTTCAGTGGTTGGGTGTGTTGTACTACTAGTCGTAATAATGCAATTAGGGAGAACAGAAATAACACTTAAAGTAGATGATGGATATGACGGAATAACTTCTCCGGTGGATTTCAGCTCTGATTTATTTTTGTAACCAGTTACAGTATTACTCGTGATCATATAACTTGAGGTAGTTATAGGACTATCGATGGTAGTATTTACGGAAGCAGTGGTTATAGCCGCTACAGTAGTAGTACTAGTAGTGGTAGTAGTAGTAGTAGTAGTAGTATTAATAATAGTTTTCAGTTGTGGAGTACATGTTGTGCTATGGGGTATTTCCTTTGAATACGTTTGATAATTTTGCATATGTATTACTTGGAGATATATACGGATTTATACACATATAAATAGTTAATATTTCAATAAGCCTGCTTTAACACCTATTATTATCCAATTGTTTTGTTTTCGGGTTTCTTATTGTTAATTAACAAATGAATAACTTATAATTGCATACTTGTAATCGAATAACAGTTAATTAATTAAATATTCATTTACGTGAAGACAAATAAATATCAGCAGCGTTATTTATGAAATTAAATCCATTCACATTATGCATATAATATAGAGATTATGTAATAAAGGTTAGATTATACAGTTATTTGGATTTCACCAACATAGTCTCCAGTTTGTGCACATCGATTCATTTCTATATATATTCATATAGATGTGTATATTTATATAAATCGCATTGGTTAGCAGTTTTGACATACATTCATAGATATTTTTATTTATCTCAAACAGAATTACAATTAACCATATTCAATGAGAATAGAATTTTTTCATTTATTTCCTTCCGTATTCATTCTTCATAATGTCCTATCTTCTCTTTTTTTTTATATTCTATTTTTGTAAAACAAAAGAATCGGATACCTATACATAATTTCTCTTGTGTAACTGTTCGTATGTCTATGGATACATTAACGTACATATGTGTACTTGTCTGTGCATACATATGAGTATAAGAAAAATACTGGCGAAATGAATGTACAATAGTAACCCAACAATTGAATGATCAAAATGAACATTATAGTTCTTACGAAACACCAAATCCTATTGCTCATGTACATGACCTGTCTGTTCTATTCACTGTCTTTGCATGTTATATATATATATATATATATATATATATATATATATATATGTCTTTCTCGCCTTTATACTCAAAATAAGAATGGAATAATACATCAAATATGTGTGTCTAAACGTAAGACATTTATAACAAAAACTGAACTCTACCAACCAATCAAGGTAGTAACAACCCTTATATATATAAATCGTGACCTTTCCTATAACATAATCAATCTAAACCGTTTAGCCAAAAATACAGTTGCTGATCACTCGACTTAATATATAATATACAAGTATATACATAGTAGGAAGTAAGGATATCTTATACTTTAAATATTATTATTGTGACCTAGTAATATTTCAACATTTCTAACTAAATTATTCAATTATGTTTCTTTTAGGATGTCATTCTACCACAATAAGCTTTGCTTTTTAAATATCTGTTTAACTTAAGCACCATATACAAGTTGTTATTTTTCAAATCTTCTTGAAAAATTCTAACCAATAAGCTTGTAACTTCATATATGACTAATTGGTTTTAAATTTTATCGAAAGAAGAGTTCGCTCAGATCTTTTTTTTTTCCTTCTTGGTAAAATAATGATTGAATGTATATTTTATTTAATGCATAAAAATTTTGTGGAAGTAGCTTTTAGAAAAATGTAGACACATATACAATAAATAAAGGTGATTAACAAACAATCAAACTCTAACCTTTTGAAATTTGCCGAAGCAATAGCAATTAAACGTCTAATACCAGATCTCTGTATACAAAAAAAGAAAGTAATAACTCTTTCTTTGCCACGGCAACATTAACCTCCGTTTTTTGTATTTCCTTCTTATTTATTGCGTCATTCATTATTTCAACTCTTTCTGAAGTTTAAATTACATCATTGTCATTTTTGTTAATTCATAACTGACTGATCTCGATTCATATCTTTCTTTGTTGCCATTAATCTATTTACAGTTGCTTAATTACATAATCATCTAATGTTTGTTAACTCCATGACTTCTAATCACAAGTTCAATGTTCTAGAACTTTCCCTCTCAAACTTTATTTATCCGAAACAAAATATTTTATGACCTTATTAACTCTATTGAGATCTTTGCTACATCATGATACATATATTCATCCTTAATCACCCTCTTATGTATAAGTATGTCAATATGTGTAATAACGTTGATTTTCAAATATTTTAGGTTGTAAGTAGCTGATGAGAACCCAACGAAATAAAATGAATTCATATAATGCTGCACCAATCTTTGTTCTTGCTCTCTTTAAGATAATAAAGGGAACTATGTGCATAAAATAAATAAAGAGGATAACATAATTTCATTATACGCTCAACACTAAGCTATAATAGATACATAATACTTTTAATAAAATAGTTTTAACAATACTTTACCTGACCATGCTTAAGTAAATATGTTTTCAATTTGCAGGGTTTGTTTTTACTTTTCAACTCTTCTAAAAAAGAGAAAATTTTGTTTATTATTACATTCATTAAATGTCATTGAAAGTGTATTTGATTAAACTTCAATTAGAAATATATCCTAAACTGTCAAAATCTTTTGTTGCTATAGTAGATGACCAATTGAAACTATCTATATGTCTAATGAAATATGAGTTAAGTTAGTTGAGTTGATTTTCTCATAAGTCCTATATTTTCAGTTATGATTTTGTTTTAGAAAAGCTTCACCAAAAACTTTACTAAAGATAGAAAAAATAATCAGTACTAAGATTTCGTTATGTATCTTGTCACTTAGACGAAAATAAAAAAAGGTTAAGCGTTAAATGCCCGATAAAATGATAAATTTTTTCTGAACAATATGATCGAAGTAAATAAGAAAGATACATTTGAGACAGTATAATCAGTTTGCAACTTATGGAATTGTTTAAATGGAAAGGAAAACAAAATAAAACATTGAATCATATTGGTTAGAAGTAAAATAAGACACTAGCAGAGTAAAGATTGACGATAGAAATGTCTACATCATGTTATATGATTTAAGAGATAAATTCTAGCTAATCTAGAGATGAACATAGTAAACATATGATCGTATGATCTAATGTTTTTTTGGCTGTAATTAATCACTTTCATATTCGTGCTTATCAATACTAAATAACATTGTTTCAAACTTATAAAACTGAAAAAAATATATGATAAATGTTATAACGAAGTTAAATGAATAAAATCCGATTTCCAACGTTCACATAAAATACATTAATTGACCAGTGCGAAGTGATCAATGTGATGTCTGTTTATTCATGAGGAATGATTGTATGATACAATATGGTTACTGATCTAAGTGACTCAACACCCATCACCGAGTTTAAATGTTAAATGACTGGAGTAGTCGACAGGAAATTTGGCATTTAAATTTTGTATTAAGTGGCAATTGTTGACTTTAAAGACTATAGTATAAACATTAAGTACTTATTATGTCTTACTAATATTCTACACAATATAGTCTTCCATTAAACATTTGATCGAATTTGTAATTGCACTATTATTTCTCTCACCCTATCTGATCCATATTTATTCTGATTATGGATCTTAAAATTTTCACTTAACATATAAGCTGATTCAAATTAACATTCTATATGAGTCATATTAACATTAATAATTTTATTCTATTTTATTTGATAATCCTAAATCCATAAGCTTTAAACTTTAAACGATTCCCTTTACCCTAAACCTAACCATTTTCCGGATTATTAATTAGGATATATAAATATAGAATCTGAAGAATATTCTTCGTTCAAATATTAGCCTTTTCATATGATGGGAATCATATAGTGGTCTAACTTCAATTGACTGATGATCTCAACTATTAAATTTCTACAACCTTCATAAAACCCCTACTGATATATTAATTTGTCAAAAGAAGGAAGAAAAATTAATGAAAGCATTATATAATGACAAGATTATTCAGGTAAAAATGTTTATTTTTTCTAAGTATAAAAAAAAATAAATATTATTATTTCAACAGTTCAGATCATGAGTCAATTGAAGCTAGACCACCATGCAAAACCTGGAGGCACTGGATGGCCGTTTCGTCCTAGTATGGGACTCCTCAGCAGCGTGCATCCATGATTCCGCTCCCTGCGCGATTCGAACCCAGGACCTATCAGTCTCGCACCAGGCGCTTAACCAACTAGACCACTGATCCAGTATTCAACGGTGTTAATGTCTAACTTCAACTAATCCACGAGATTGAGCGACACATCCACCATTGTCATCAGTGAGTTACTACCTCACAACTGGTAACTGCTTCCCATTAAAACTCCAGGATATATCTCTTGAAGTCAGTCACTAGTGAGCATATGTTGATTAGTATCAGAAGGGGATTTCCATGGTGGTCTAGCTTCAAATGACTCATGATCTCAACTGTTGAAATTATTACAATCTCCACAAAACCTCTTCAAATACTATTGTTCTATTTAATATTGTTCATTTTTTATGTTCATTTTGAATAATACATAAACAATCTTTCCTTTTTATTACTGTCAATCTAATTTATATATATATATATTGTTGAACTATATTTCCTTCTCAAAGTTATTTCCCCGAAATATTTTGTTATTTGTTACTTCTCATATGTTTATATGTCTACGTACACGTGTGCGTGTGTGTGTGTGCATATATGCGTAGGTGTATGTGCGTGTGCGTGTTTATATGTGTATATATGTATATGCCTACATGTGTGCTCACAAGCTCGATTCAACTTCTCAACTATTTAATTAAAAAAAAGAAAAAGAAAAAGGTTGTCATAATTAATTTAGCATGCCGGAAGGTAAATACAACTAAATGATTCAATACTTAACTATGAAATAAATAATAATAATAAAGAATTTACAATACACATTCAAATAAAATTAAATAGTTTCATAATAGTAAATTAATTTTCTTTTAATGTTCTATATTCAATTGTCGATTATGAAAATGTTTTATTTTGTTTGTTTGAATGAAGGTCACACTATGAGTGTAAGAAAATTAATAGGTAAGAAATTCACATAATTATGGCTTAAATAGTCATGCGGAAAGAAGTACCATTTTTTCTGTGTTTTCATGAATCCATATTAAATAATAGAAATATATAACAATGAGATAATAATTATTTTAGAATATAAAATAGAAAAAATTATTGGATAGAAATCAAAATAACCATTTATAGTATATTTTTGTTGTCATGTCACTGATATTCATTATTAAATTGATCAGATTATGTGATTAGT